GCGGCCCCTCTCGCCGGATCCCCGGCCCCCGATGGCTCGGATGGGGCTTGCGGGCGCCGCCGGACGCTGGTGGGGACTCGCTTTCGGCTTGACCGCCTTCTTCCTCCCAGGTAAGCGCGTTCTGCCTCTGCCTTTTTTCCCCCATACACTGCCTCCCCAGAGCTGGAAGCTGGCTGGCGGGCACGTCTGGGTTGTAGGGAGTGAAAGGAGCCAGAAAAGTTGGGTCACGGCTTAGGTAAGGGGGGTGCGGGTGGCACGGAGGAGAGAGGCTGAGGAGCCGAACAGGCTGCCCAGCAGGGAAGCAGTCGGGTGCACGTCTCAATGTAGCAAGAAAGCACTTTCTCCGCGCAGTTTTTCCACACACAAAAAATAATAATATGTAATAGCGTTCTATTTATTTAATAACCAGCCCTCAGCTCGGGAAGCAGTTTGGAAACACTGCATGTTACATCAATGCAAAATAATCACGGTAATCACCGTCTCGGGGTACGAGACAACAGCCCCAGGGGGAGGGCGTCAGTCTCGGAGCTGGTGGGGCTGTGGGCTTGAAGGATGGCAGGGGGGCTTCTTTTCTTTCGCCGGCCTTTCTGCCAGACGGTTTCGGGCGCTCGGGCCCCCTCCCGCACCGCGTCGCCCCACCACCGGCGCCGAGAGCCCGCTCCTGCAGCAGCGGCGGCTTCTCGCTCACCTGCGGTTCCTTTCCGGGAGGGTGAGGCCCGGGCCGCGCGGGATCGCAACCTCCCGCCTTGCGCAGGGCTGGTCTTCGTCTCGGAACTTCAATTCCAGTTTGGGGGGGTTCTCCCCGCAGAAGGTGCCTCGGGCTTGGTGCCAGCCAGGTGGCTTCATGACCCACTTTCCCGAGCGTGCCCCTCGTGTCCTTCCTCGAGATGCTGGCGGCCGAGGGGTTAACCCGACGCCCGACCCCGGGGGTGGCCAGCGGTGGCCCCTCTGACGGGTGGGGTGGGGGCGGAGGCTGGGACCGGCCCGGGCGTATTGTGTTGGGGAATGAACTGGAAAATGCGTTTAGGAGGCAAATCCGACCGAGTCCCCTCGCCTGGATTTAACTCTTTGTGTCCCTGGGGAAGCTGCCCGGCTCCCACGGTGGCTGGCGACACCAGCGTGGGTCGGGATGGGGGTTGGGAGGGTTCCTCCAGCCTTCGTGGAAGAAACCTGAGACGACCTTCCACCCTAGCTAGGTGGGGCCTGGGATGGTGGGTAGAGTGGGGGTTTGGCAGAAGCACGTGGCCCTGGCCTTAGGTGGCAGAATAGGGGGTGGGAGTACGGAGACCAGCTCTGCTGGGGCAAGAATGTTAAATCTGGGCAGCTGCGCCGGCAGTGAAGGAAAGGAGATACCTGCTATGCTGCAGACCCGGGGGGCGGTTTGTTACCTGAGGGGCCAGCCTGGCTGCTAAGTTGTGGGGCAGGGCTGCACTCTAGGAAGGCAGGAACCTAGCCTCATTCACCTTTATACCTCATCTGCAGCCAGCTCACTGCAGGGGCTCCGCAAATGTCTCAGAGTGGCCATTGACACCGAAAGCAGTTTGTGAAAGCTGGCACCATGGTGCCCCCAGCAGCCTGGGGGGGCGCTGCCCTGCTAGGTGTGTGGGGGTGGGGTGGGGTAAATTCCAGGACACACAGATGTCACTGCCCATTTCAAAGGGGCATGATTGAGTCCCTCACCAGCAGGGCGACTATGCTGAGAGTGAGTGATCTCACACTGGACCTCCTGTGAAGCTGGCAGGAGATACTGGAAGCTCAGACTCTAGCACTTGTCCAACCACTGGGCTTCTGGGAACCCTTCAATTCCATACTGCCCACACCCAGAACCCAGCAAAAGGGCAGCTTTCCTGGGGCCTGGTTAGTCCGGCATACTAGGGGTTAACCTAATCCCAGATCGGACAAAGAGCGGGAAGGTTTGGGGAGAGGGAGTGAACTCCCGCCCCCCACATTCTCCCCTCCTTTTGTTACTCTCTTCCCCTGCTTTGTGGTGGTGCGGTGCATCTAGTTAATTCCCTCCCTTCTTTGGGGGGCTGGAGGCCTGCCCTTTTCCATCCCACTCAGGGAGTGAGGGCAGGGAAGTGACACTCTCACCTGGCTCAGGTGTGGACACTGCCCCCACCAAAAATCCAGATTGAGGGGGTGGGACACAGAGAAGGAACCCCAGCTCAGAGAGGCACTTAATAAGCGCTCCTTGATTGATCATAATTGTCATGGCTGGGTAGCGTCATTCGGTGGGGAAGCCAAAGTTCCCTGACCAGCCAAGCTCCTCCACCCAGTGCCCCTGCTGCCTCTGTGAAGGGAGGCAGGTGGATGTGGTAGTGCCCATATGACACTTGGACAGAGGCTGGTGGGCCCAGAAGTTGCCCTCCCACACCCCGTTTACCACCACCCTTGGGCAGCCTCCTGATTGCTGGCTGCTGTTTCTGGGGATGTGCCAGCCTGATGCTCTTTTCTGGGTTCTCCTGGGCTGTGGCAGGGAGCATGGAGGGGTGAGGAGAGGAGCCCGATGGGGGTGGGGGTGGGGGAGGGTGAGCCCCCAGTGGTGGTGGTGAGCCCTTGACTTCAAAACACTCCAAATCTGGCTATTGCTGTGTAAACACAGAAGCATGTTTTTAACAACACAGACTTTACCAGGCAGGATGGAGAGGCCCCGCAAGCCTCTAAGATGACAATCTGTGGTCCCTGCCTGTTCACTCAGAGGAGAGGGCCAGTGGGACATGGGGACTGCCTTCCAAAGGGACAGGAGGAGCCCGGGAGGGGAGGCAGAGAGCCTGCCTCAGAAGCAGGTGCGCTGAGCTGGTGTCCCATCTACACCACACCCTCCCTAATTGGCTTCCCCAAACCTTTTGTCTGGAAAGAGAACACACACCCCAGGTGTCATGCACACCCTCAGAAGACCTGTCGGGGCCGCAGCACACCCCTTCTCTGCAGCCTGTGCAGAACTCGCTGCCATGGTGCTTTCCTTCGAAACTCGAGGTGTCAGGACTGTTGGGTTATTTCCCTGTCTCCCGACTGCTCACGGAGAGTGGTGTGCTCAGGCTTGCTGGGCAGGACCTTATAGCAAAACCAATTCTGCTGGCCTGGGGTTTGCAGTGCAGATAAGTGGGAATCCCAGTGGCCGTTTTGGAGGCCGCACTGTGGAGTGTCTCCGAATCAGATTTAAGGCCGAACAGTCAAGGCTGGAGCCGTGGAGGAGATATTGCAGAGCCTGGGCCCAGCAGCCTGGGCTGAGTGGCCTCAAGGGGGTCTCAGGACCTGCCTTTCTATGTTTGTGGGATGGGCAGCCCCCTGTTGCTTGATGCTGGCCAGAACTGTGCTATCCATTCCCTTCTAGGGCGCTCAGCTTTGCACAATGAATCCACCTCATCGGCCTGAACCAGGACCCAGTTGTATGCTGCCAGGATGGTCTCTAGCCAGAACCCTTGTGCTGACGGCTGAGCCAGTGGGCCAGGCTGGGGAGGCGGGTGGGCAGAGGGTCAGCCCCAGTTGCTGTGGCTATGATACCGCCATTGTTTAGCAGCTGACTAATGTTCATTGTTCAGCACAAACAGAAAATACCCAAGGGAGGTGTGAATATACCTTCGATTTTCCTGATTAGCCTGGTAAATTGAATGGCTCCTACCTACTGAGGGGACAGAGCAGGTGTCTGTATATTCACCTGTTTTGCTGATTTTTATTTTTAAACTTTGAATGCTAGCCAGTGGGCCAAGTTCAAATGGACATTAGCCAGCTGTGGGAGTTAGGCTGTAATATTTCTGACAACCTGCATACGACCTCACCTTCACTATAGACTGGATGCACACACAGGTGTGCAAGACTGTGTGTGCACGTGTTGGTTATCTACAGTTCACTGTACACGTGCAGACCCATGGGGACTAGGACAAGGAGCGGCGTGCACTGGGATCTGTGGGTCACCATGGGACTGGGACCATAGATATACATCAAATGTATGTCCGCATGTAGCTGATTTCTTATGGCCTTCCAGCTAGGATTTTATGAGTTGCTCTGAGCCTGTGTTTATGTCAGAGTATCAGTGAGGGTGCCTTTGGAGGAGACCTAGGATTTGCCCTTAGCCAGCTCCCTCCAAGGCAAGCTGCCATGTCCTTTGAGGGTGGGAAGCCTGGACACTGCTTTCTTTTTCTGCTCTGTCCCTAACTTTAGACTGGGCCTCTGCATCCTCATGGGGAGATGCTCATCTGGGGAGACTTCTCTCTCTTGTCAGCCTCCTGTTGTCTCCCTGGCAAACAGAGCAGCACTGGAACCTGGTATTAACTGAGGCCTGGCTCACCCCTGCTTCTCAGCATTCCTGACCACCTGAGAAGGGTTGTAGGAGATAGGTTTTCAGCTACTACTTTGGTATCTTTGCTTGCTGCATGCCTGCATGAATACCTGGGGAAAAGGATCAACTGGGGGAAAGGTGGTATACTCTGGGCATTTAAAAAGGAGCATGGGTTGGGGGCTCTGGCCCTCTGTGCACAGCCCTGCAGAAGCATATGCGTGCCTAGGCCGGCAACATACATGTGTCTGTAGGCACCCCAGTTCATGCAGCAGAAAGTGGGAGCCCGCTTGTTGGAAAGGGAAGTGGAAATGAGGGGCATGGAGTAGGGAAGAGGGCCATCCTGGGGGCCCAGGCCCCTGTGCCCAAGTCCAGCTGGCAAGTGTTTCTCCCCCATGATGCCAGCCCCTCTCCATAGAGACCAGGTCTGCAGAGCCAGCAGCAGATGTGCTGGCTGGGGCAGGAGGTAACTTAAGATCTGAGCAGGGATCACCTTGCAGAGGGAAAGCCCTGAGCTGGAGATAACACCCCTTAGTCCAGTTAACCCTGTAAGCTCTGGACTCTCTTGTGCCGTTTGGAGCTGGGAGATGGCGAGAGGGAAATGATAGGCGAAAACACATCAAACCTAGTATTGCGAACCCTGACCCAATCCACAAGGAGAGATGAACTCAGTGCAACAGGAGAGACCCAAGAAGGGCACAAAGAAAGTCTTCCTGACAGCATACTGTAGACTCTTCAAGGCGATGGATAATCCCAAGGTTTATCCTGGGGTGGGGGAGGGGCAATAGGTGTGAATTCTCAGGGGCTTGTGGGATCTGTGCCTTTCACATTCTT